GATGCCCGAAGCGTGCCTGCAGGATGCCTGAAGGGCTCCAGAGGTTTCAGAAGGATTCCTGGGGACTTCCTGATGGACTCACAGAAGCTTCTGAGTGGCCTTTTTGAGAAGCGTCTGAAAGGCGGCCGAGATGCTTCTGAGAAGCTTCTCGCGAGAAACCTCGTCTCAGGAATCTCGTCTCCAGTTTGCGAAAACCATGGGAAGCGTTTGGGCTAGGAACAGGGAGAGACGAAGGTGAAGGAGGATAAGGGGACAGCTTGGGGCCTCCCGGGAGCCCCCTGGGGAGCATCCTGGCGAGCATCCTGGGCGCCTCTTGGGCGCCTCTTGGACGCCCATTGGGGGTATCTGGGGGCCTTGGGGAGCCTCTTGGGGCGTCTTGGGCCGCCCTTCCCGTTGGAGGCCGGAGGCCTCAGTGAAAGCCTTTCTGGGCTGTTTTCGGGACGTCCTGGGGTGCGTGAGGGCCGTCTTGCAAGTCTCTTGGGCCGTGTTGGGGACAGTCTTGGGGGTCTGTTGGGCTGTCTCGAGTCCCTCTTGGCCCGTCTTAGTGCTGCCTTGGATGCCCTCGGGCTGCCTTCGGCTGCCAGGAGCCCGAAACAATGAGAACGCGAAAGTCATACGGAAAAAATGAGTTTGGCTTCGTCGGACCCTCCTGAAGGCTAGGAACCCTCTTGGACCGTTTTGAAGCTTCTTCAGCCGTCGCGACGCCGTCTTGGAACGTCTTGAGGCCATAGTGGACCGTCCTGAAGTACCAGTTGCTTCATCACGGCAAGCAAACAATGAGCAGGTGTCAACGGTCGACTTCAATATCGGACGCTACTTGGATATCTCCCGTCCAACATGTTTGGACAAATGGGACCTCGCCCGTCTTCTTCCGGATCTCACCCGTCCCGTTGGGATCTCGCCCTGCCGCGACCCCAGGAAGCCGCGCCCGCTGCCACAGGCGAAGAGCAGGGTGACAACACAACTGGGAGGAGACTCCTCCTCCTCCTCCTCCTCCTCCTCCTCCTCCTCCTCCTCCTTCTCCTCCTGCTCCTGCTCCTGCTCCTCCTCCTCCTCCTCCTGCTCCTCCTCCTCCACCTCGACCTCCTCCGCCTTCTCCTCCTCCTCCTCGTCCTCCTCCTTCTCCTCCTCCTCTTCCTCCTCCTCCCCAGACCTATCGATTTGGCCTTCGGGGGGCCTCCTCGTCACCACGGCTTGACGCAGCTCGAAAAACTGATCAGAATGGACTCTGCGATGGGTCTGAAACCGATTGTGGTAAGGTTCTAGCAAACCGGATTGGGCCAAATAGGGGGGAATCTCATAGAGCTGGCGAAACTGTAGGATGCATCGGGCGCCGCAGCCGTTCTAGAGCGCTCCTTGGACGTTCCAGTGGGGGGAGCTAAATTTTGAACACCTACAGGAGAGGCACTGATACTACTAGCGGTTCGGAAAAACCCCACAGAACAGCACCTGGGCACCGAAAATCATAGAAAAACACTCTGGCGCGGATCTCTCGACTCACCAAACGTCTGACTCGGGCAGCCGGCAACCGTGAACTGCCCCCCCCCCCTCCTCCCTCCTCCTCCCTCCTCCTCTCTCCTCCCTCCTCCCTCCTTCCTCCCTCCTCCCTCCTCCTCTGCAGCAGCAAGGCTCCTGGCCCAGCCGGGGGGGGGTTCGGTCCTGGAGCTTAATGGTGTCCACCGGGAACAGGATGGCCTCGAGAGTCGCTCGTGGAAGAGAATGAGAAAGGGGAGGAGGAGAAGGAGGAGGAGGAAGAAATGAGTTCGTTGCTGTTTGTCTTGGGGGGGACTCCTGGGGCTCCTGGGGGGGCTCCTGGGGGGACTCCTGGGGGGTCCTCAACGTCACGGCTGGATCTGTGTCGAGGTTCTGCGGCTGTTGTCTCCGAGGGGGAAGCAGGAGCTCGGACATCAACGACGAGGCTACATTTGCCGACGGCGCGATCTTTGAGAATGCCTACACAGGAACCGCGAAAAGATGCAGCGCGAAGAGAGTACAAAACAGCGAGGCAAAGAATCACGCATCGCGAGACCCGTTCACGGCTCAATGGAATCGAATCAGGAGGAGGAGGAGGAGCGGGAGGCGAGCAGCGTGGTTGCCAAAATGTTGTTGTCACGTGAAGTGGCCGTGGACCCCGAAGAGGATGCGCACTGGATATGAAAGACATGTGGTGCGCGCTAGGTGGTGTAATATATGTGGTGCAAACTATGCAATGCAGACTATGAAGTGCCAGTTCCGCAATGCAAACTGTGCAGTGCAAGCTACGCGGTGCAAGCTATGTGACGCAGGCTATGTGGCACAAGCTATGTGGCGCAAACTACGTGGTGCAAGCTGTGGTGAGAGTTATGAGGAGCGAGCTGCGTGGGGCAAGCAATGCGGAGTTATGTGTTGCAAGCTCTGTGGTGCAAGCTGTGTGACGCAAATTGTGTGGTGCAAGCTCTGTGGTCCAGTCCAGTCTTTGCAGTGCAAGCTACGTGGCGAACGCTTTGCGGTGCAAGCTACGCGCAGGCTACGAGGTGCGCAGACAACACGATGCAAGCTGTGTGGTGCAAACTGTCGTGTTTTGTTTGTTCCCATCTTTCCACAAACCAGTGCTCTCCGCCCACTGGCTTACGGTACTGGTCATTGCACTGGCCTTGCAGACGTGATGCAGCGGATTTCTGCGCGGAATTCTGCGTGGATTTGTGCCCAGGGGAATGAATTTCGCGTGCACTTGTTTTCAGTCTTCATTCCTGGCCAAAAGAATCCGCACGAAACTCACCACGAAAACCGGCAGGAACTTCTCCAAGACGCTCCGGGCCCATCTTCTCGCTTTCCGAACGAAATCCGCTCTGCGATGCGGGAGCCATGGCTGGGCTCCCTCAGGAGCCTCGCCGTCGCTCGGACGCCCATTCCCCGCGCATTTCTCGACTTCGTGCGTGCATCTTTCGCTAGCAGACTAAGAATGCTCCTCGACTCGATGGTCGTCGCCGAAAAAAAAATGCACACGTCCGGGGCGCCGAGCCGCGGCCCTCCCAAAGCCCGGCCGCCCGGCACGCAGCGCCCACGAGGAGCCCACGGGCCGGGCCCCGGCCGAGAGCCCGGCACGGCCGCCCGCCGCGCGTCGCGCCCACGGGGCGCTCCTCCTCCTCCTCCTCCTCCTCCTCCTCCATCATACCTCCTCCTCCGGACCTCTCCTCCTCCTTCTCCTCCTCTCATCTCCTCCTTTCCCCTCCTCATCCCACTCCTCCTCCTCACCCTCCCTCCTCCTCCTCCTCCTCCTCCTCCTCCTCCTCCCCCTCCTCCTCCTCCGCCCCCTGCCCCTGCCCCTCTCGTCGGCGGCGAGGCAAAGTTGGCCGCACCAGCGCTAGAGCTAAGCGAGGGTTCCCAGCTTCGCGCTCTCGCGCTGCGCGGAGCGCGGAGTGCGAACAGCTTCGCGCTCTCGCGCCGCCCCCCAGGGGAGAAGAGGAGGATGAGGAGGAATCGGAACCGAACCACGAAGCGCGAAGCGCGAATAACTTCGCGTCCTCGAGGGCGCCTTTAGCTAAACGGGGGCACCGAAAAGCGAATTGGCCAGCATGCAAGAGTGGGAGGAGGGCAGAGCGGGCGGCCGCGGGGGGGGGACAAAAAAAGGCCACTCAGAGGTGGAGGAGTTCTCACCTGAGAGTGCTGGCGCGGCCAGCCCCAACAGCGGGAACCGAAACACCGGCACACCCATCCGATCACTCGACACTTGACAGCACAGGTAGGAAGCACTGCGTGCAACAACTGTTTGGGGATGAGATATTGGCGAGAAGGCGCGAGGAAGAGGAAGAAAGATCGTCACGGCCAAAACAAGAGTAAGGGTGATTCAACCTGCAGGGTTCGTGATGAAGACAAAATAGGTTGCAATGACGTAGCCGACACTTGTTAGAACGCCATTGAATGATCAATGATTTCATGTTTGATTTCGCTTGGCGCATGAGAAACCATTGCTTTCAACGACCAAGCCCCCACTGAACTAAAAACCATTCCTGCTCAACGCAGTTGCTGGGACATTGGTGCTCAGGCATGTGGGTGTAATATGTTGCTAAACGTTTTCCCGAATATGTTGGCTATGTGATGAGTTTGTACGCCCCATGTCGTTTGCCTCATCTTCCGCACAGACTCACAACACTGTTGCTTACATCTGGATGCTCGAACTGTATGAGTCTTGGCAATAACGAGCCACTTGTGTTACATATGTAGATATATGAAGGCATAGATGTAAATGTACACACTGTACAATTCGATACACCTGTATACAGGCACCTGTGTATATGTCTCGCTCTCTCTCTCTCTCTCTCTATCACGCTCTCTCCCTCTCTCTCTCTCACGCGCGCTCTCGCTCTCGCTTCATCTCTCTCCCTCTCTCTCTATCTCTCTCTCCCTCTCCCTCTCTCGCTCTCACACAGCATGCCCTATTATCACTCGCATGTCGTAGCATTCCTTCTCCCCGATATCTCCCTCGCGCTATCTCTTGGAATTGTTATCTCTCTCTCTCTCTCTCGCTCTATCTCTCCCCCTGTGTCGCTGGGATCACATCTATGTCTCCTCGTCACTTCGTGAAGCGGCTGCTGCTTCTGCACTTGCCCACCAATGCGGGACGCCTCCGCCAGCACGCCGCCCACGGTGCCGCCGATGGCGTTTTGGATGATCTTCGACGAGGAGGAGGGCTTCTTCACGGGTGGAACGGCGGCAGCGAAGACCGAGGCCCTCCGGCGGCACGGACTGCGCTGGGGAGGAGGAGCAGGAGGCAGAGCTCAGTCAAGTGTCAGCAGCACGTCGAAGATAGGCTCCTTGCATAATTCGCTTGACAACCCTCTAGCCACCCCAGCTGCTGCCTCACCTGCGCAGGGTGGGTTACTCGAGGGCGGGATTGCGATACCATGTCTCCACGTCAGCTCGCAGCGTCGCCGCCCAAGCTGAAACAAAATGTCGGCAACCAGTTCACACAGGCCAACCAGCTTCATGCT